TAAATATGAGGGAAGCTTTTCTCAACAGGTTTCAGGAATTCCGAAACAGCAAAGCGAGGTTAGCCTTTGTTTTTTTTAAAAAAAAAAACCTCTTAATGCTACTGTAATATAATTAGATTTTTGTCCCTCATATTGACATTGGCAACTTTGAAATGCAATTGCTGGATTTAAAAAACAAAGAATTGTGGAGCTTGAAATTTGAATGCCTGTGTGCTGATATAGAAATATTGGAGAAAAACAAATATTAACTTAGTTCACAGCACAAGTGGTCTGCTTTGAAAGACCTGGAGAAGGAAAATATGTTGATTTTTAACACCTGGAATATATCCCTGACTCATATAATCAACTGAAAAACTAGCGTTTGCTATTCTTTCCTTATTCGGGTCCACATATTTATGCAAACAATCATGTTCAAGCATGAACCTTATCAAGAGTAAATTGAGAAGTCGTCTTATTGATGAGAACCTGGAATCTTGCCTAAAATTAAAAACAACAATATACAAACCTGACTTACCCAAACTTTCCAAGGCAATGCAAGGCCATTGTTCACATTAGTGTTTGTCAGTCATTGTCATGATTTAATTTTATGGATATTGTAAGGTAAATTGTAAGGAATTTAATTTTATCAATAAATAATATCATTATTAAGTATGATATCAAGTTTGATTCAACTTACCTATAGTTTAACTAAGACTTAAAACTTTAAGTAAAGTTTATTATGTTAATTTTAGGGAACGTTGTGGAGTGAAAGAAGATGTAGTGTCAAGTATTGAGAAAGGTATGTTGAGATGGTTTGGACATATAGAGAGGATGAATGAAAAGAGATATACGATACAAGACGAGTGTGGATGGGAGAGTTGGAAGGGGTCGACCTCAGTGAACGTACCTCAATCAGATTGAGGACATTTTTAGCAAAGGCCAACTTAGGGGTACCCTAATTAAGTTAATAACAATGTACCTACTATATAGTTTAATTTTAAAAAATTTGACTCTCAAAAGTAATTTCAATTGTTGTACTGTTGACATTTGGCTCTGTTGACTAATGAGTTTGCCAACCACTGATCTAGGGCAGCTTCTGTCCATCCAAACTTTGAGTAGAACTGAACTGAAGTTTTAAACCAGGGGTGTCAAACTCAAGGCCCAGATCCAGCCTGCATGGACATCCTGGAAACTGTAAGGTCCGTCCCACATCACTTCGGCCAGGCCCATGCCATCCCGGCATATATGTGTGCATGCACACAGGCCCAGTTCTCCATTCAGCCTTCAAACAGTAAGGCCGGCGCACATAAGCGAGCAGCACGGCAGGGCCACAAACGGCCTTGGTTCCTGCACCTGGCTGATTCAGATTCCACAGCCAGCCTTACTGTTTGAAGGCTGAACAAAGCCTTCAACTGAGCAAGGAAGCACTGCAGGGCAGCTAGGGCAGCTTCTGCCCATCAAAAGAATAGGAAGGGTTCAAAAGAGTTGGAAGGGATCTTGGAGGTCTTCTAGTCCAACTTCCTGCTTAGGCAGGAAACCCTACACCACTTCAGACAAATAGTTATCCAACATCTTTTTTAAAACTCCCAGTGTTGGAGCATTCACAACTTATGTAGGCAAGTTGCTCCACTGATTAATTGTTCTAACTAACAGTCAGGAAATTTCTCCTTAGTTCTAAGTTGCTTCTCTCCTTGATTAGTTTCCATCCACTGCTTCATGCTCTACCCTCAGGTGCTTTGGAGAATAGTTTGACTCCATCAAGCTTCAGACTATCACTTATCCATTGATCCGTAGTAAGAAGAATTCTTGGCAGAACAATTAAGAAGAGCTACTATATTTATATGAAACTCTGTCCTTTTTTACATGGTAAACAAGTAAAATCCTGGTTTGATCACAGGGAAGGAAAATTTTAGCTCTCAAAGTACATAAAATTTTAAATTAACCAAAGTTGCTCTATTCCAGTTAGGATGATCCTTGTTGTCATTGTTCTTAGGTCTTAAATTATGTATAGGAGATAATCAGCTAGCCAGTTGCTAAATGGTGAGAGCAGAGTATCCTAAATGTTTCATAGTTTGAGATAAGTATTGTTTTACAGTTTTTACATTTTCATGATATTCCAGAAGGTGGTGCTGAAAGACTAGTACTTTTCCATTTAATAGTAATTGTACAAATGTGTATTGTTATCACTTATGCTCATTTGCATCATAATATATCCACTTTGTTAGTTATAAACACAGGGGNAGTCTTTAAGAAGATGTTGGATAGCCATTTGTCTGAAATGGTATAGGATTTCTTGCCTAGGTAGCAGTCCTTACATGTCTCTGGCAAGTGGCATGGCCTGTCATCTTTATTTCTGCCTTCAGGAGATACAAGGCTCTGTCTAGGGAGAAATGGGTTCAGATTTAATCCTAGCAAAATTATTGACTGCAGATATTCAGATAAATCCCAATTCAGCACTGGTATACAATCTAGATTTTTTTTTCTTAGACTCACAGCTCCTGTTCAGGATAGGTGACAGAAGGGGCAGGAAGATTCTTGCACAATCTATCTGTTGTACCAATTGCATTTGCCCCTGAACCAGGAGCTCTTCAGGCAGTCAATAATGGGCCTGGAGCAATGGCTATAGCTGATCTACAATGCAGTGGTGGAAATAGTAATGTATTATTGCTACTCTGTGAGTTAGCAACGGGGGAATTTTCACGAAAACTTTTTATGAGTATATGCCCATATATGTTTACTTTGTATGCAGTTGTTGTAGCATGCATGCTTAGAAAAAAAAAACATTTTTCTTTCATTTTTTTCCTGTGCAAACATTTCCCTAATACACAAGTTTTATGTATTTTTAATACTTTTGCTGTTCACCTCTCTCTTAATTATGAAGCTGAGCTTCATAACCTATGCATCCTTTCTAATGTCAAATTTCAGGAACCACTATGAGAAATAATCACACAAATCAAAAAATCAAGTATGAATTTGGATGCCTTCCATATAATGATGTTGCTACTACAGTCAAACAACCCATGATTTATTGCCTCAGTAGGAATCCTGAAGCATCTATATTTTATGATTTATCAGCAAGTCAAACCACAGGCTGATCACCTACTCAGTGATTTTCCTCAAAGAACCCTCACCTATTTGTTTAATACATGGTTTTTATAACCCTCAAAGATTCAGCTCAAATTCAATTAAGAAATATGGAATCCTTAAGTCCTCTGCTAAAATCTGAAATTATGCACGTTTGGAGATTTTTTTCCTCATGTTTTTAATTTATTTTTAATTTTATGCTAATGAACTGTACAAATGTTTTCCAGGTTGAACCATGGAACTGTTTAGTGTGAGGTAATTGCTGTTTAATTGATGGTGTTATAGTATGTGGTGTTTAGCCTTCTCTCCAGAGATAAATTGTAGACGTCATTGCTAGTAGAAACCAGTGTAAACTACCATACAGTAAAGTGGTGGGTTTCCATTTTTTTTTACTACCAGTTCACTCGTGCGCATGTACTAGGGCACGCACGTGATGCTTCTGCACATGTGCAGAAGTGCCCGGGTGGGTGGGCGGAGCCTCCCGCCACCACTATTACAGGTTCATTTTTATTGTTCTTTCTAAACTGAAATTTGCAAATCTATTGCACTACTTCAAACCTTAATGATTCTATTATATATTATCAATAAATTAGTAAAAACTGCTCAGTCAATATCTTATGGTCTTGCTCAGTTAAACTTTCAAAGGTGATACATTATTTTCCCACTTACATGAGTGATCTAAAAAGAAATCATGCAGAAATATTTTGGCTCCATAGCTTGAGCACAAAAAGGGGACTTCAGAAATTAATGAGGTGAATCTTATGCCCAAGCCTGCTAAAATAAGTAAACGTATTTCCAGAAGAGTTTCAATTTGTAAAATTGATTTGCATCACCCACAAATAAGTATGACCAATCAGTTTATTAATCTGTGTATTTTATCAGTAGAGCGAATGAAGAAAAACTGATGAATAACTCACTTAATTTGTTATGCCTGGATTGTTTTTTTAAAGTGCTGAAAGCCTTTATTGTATGTATTTTTAATTGGGTTTGCAATATTTAAAATAAGCCTTTTAAAAACAGAGCTTTGTTAAGAACATATAAAGAATGTTACGTTTGCCCATCTAAATCAGTATTTGATAATACAAAGTGACCAAACAGAGGCACTCAACAAGCTTGCAAATTTGGGCTAGAAGTGGGTTCTAAATGGTATTTAAGATGCATTGCCCAGGATTTGGAAAATTGGTAAGCTGTTAACAAGTCTATTAGACATTGAATAGTAAGATCTTCTATTGTCTAAATTCATTTTGTCCCTTTCTAAAGTCATTTAATTGGTTGTTATCATATGTTAGTCCAGTGTTTTTCAACCACTGTGCCGTGGCACACTAGTGTGCCGTGACATAGNTCAAAGGTATCCCTCTAGCAGTAGTAGCAGTGGCGGGAGGCTCTGCCCACCTGCCTGGACACTACTGCGCATGGGAGCACATGCGGGAACACGCCCGAACTGGTAGTAAAAAAATTGGCAACCCACCACTGACATAACCTCACACTGCAGTCTTACCAATACATATACTGGTGTGTGAATAGCCATAGGGATATTCTCATCATAAAAATAATAGTACAGACAATAACTTCGATGCCTTTTCTACTGCAGAGTATTGGTCTTTCACTACTACTAGCACAGGGAAACTAGTGCTCTTGAATAAGTTAAAAGAGTGATTTTAAGCACGGTCTCTTCTTTTTCCTTCCTCCAAATACTACAGACTGTTCCTGATTATTACTCTTATCTCTGAGAATACTTTTTTGGAGGGGTGGCAGAAACTTTACCCTTTTTAATCAACTGATTGATCAAGAGAAATGATGAGGGTTTAGGACTGGTGTCACAAGTAACATGTTATCCAGATGTCCATTCATTACTAACAAAGGGCAGAAAGGGAGGGGGTCTCAAGAATTCCAATGAATATGGTTTATGGGCATTTTGTTCACCCACACTAACTTACAACAGTACTGGCATATTGCATGCTTCCCCAAAAGACCATTCCTGCTGCTCCCATGGCCGCTGTTTCACCAATTGTAGTCACCAAGTCTTCCTGAAAAGTAAGGCAACGAATAGGGATATTTTAATAGAGCACCACACACTGGTAATAAACAATTAAATATTGGCAGCCATTTCCCCTATCTCTTATTGGGGGGGGGGGAGGTGGCAGTATTTATGATAAAAACAGTTTCAGAACAAGACTGCAATTTCGCCCTACTGAAATCAAATTTAGCAGCCTGGGAAAGAATATTCTTTCATAGCTCTATCAAATGTCTGGCTAAAAATCAACAATGATGCATACTCCCAGTAGAAAAAAATGTATTTTCTGGTTTCTCAGGTATGAGACTTTTTCAGATTACTAAATCAGAGCAGCTTTGTCCTAACTTGGCAACTTTTAGACTTGTGCACTTCAACTCCCAGAATTCCTCATCCAGGAAGTTGCCAGTTAGGAAACTCCTGAGTTACAATATGCTAAATGTGTGGACTTTATAGTATGGTGAAAAATCCTTTACATTCCAATGATGTGTTCAGAAAATTGCCTATAATTCTTTGCTGAAACCATATCTACAAAAAAAATCTGATTCCTGAACCAGTAAGTGCATTAGTAATTTTGAAATGTGGTAGTGGGACTCTCTTAAAATGATTGCTATGGAGGCTATTGCTAATAAAATAAAATATTACATGCTAGAAGGAAAAGAGGAGGAGAGAAGCAGGGCTCAGCTGCTGTGTAACAGACATAAACTATTTAAAATCAGCCTTGCAATGTATAATTCAAGCCTAGCACATTGAATTATGAAAATAGGTTGAACATTATGCATACTCAGATTTGGATCATAGAGTAACATTCCAATTGTCAACATATACATACACATAATTGAAGGAACATCTGAGGGATGTGGGATTTCACCTGCTGACTATTCCTTTCCCATGGCCATGATAATGATGTAATATAGTCCTACTCTGTTTTCTTAGGATCAGGGGTGAAATCAACTTACCTTGGCTACCGGTTCACAAATGTGAGTGTACGCGCCATCTCCGTGCATGTGCAGGACCTTCTGCACATGCGCAAAGTGTAAAAAAATGATGTGAACTGCAGGTGGACAGAGCCTGCTACTGAGTGTGCCTGCAAAGATAAGTGGAACAGCGAGGGGGTGGGAAATCCATGGTATTTCCGACAATCAGCTGTGCCACCTGATTTAGATTATCTAGAAAGCAGGAAATCCAACAATTCTAGCTAATGTAAATCGCATGTCACAGCTGATCGTCGGAAATACCAGTTTGTCTGAACTGGTGGCATTTTTTACTACCGGTTCCAGCAAATCGGTCCTAACCGGTAGCATTTCACCCCTGCTTAGGATCCTTTAACATTAAGGTTCTAACCAGTCAGGTTTCCTGATTACATGAAGAATCTGACATGCAACAAATCTACCCATGTTGGACTTCTCCTATGCCGGTGTTCAAGAGGAGAAATAAAGCATGTTAATGGGTATGAACCAGATGGAGTTTTAATAAATATGTAGTGTAGCTGTCAACAGACTTTGATTCTGAGATTCATACACTCTAATACCTTACCTCTGTTAAAGGTTCAAAGGTATATGCATAAAATGGCCTGGCATATACAAAAACAGGCAAGGCATAATCTTTCCTAGCCATGGAAGCAATGCGCATTGATTCCTTAAGGCGATGGTGAACAAATTTCAGAGCATTGGCACTTGATTTCAATATGATTTCAAGATATATAGAAGGGAAAAGGGCAGTACTGTCTCTCCATAGCCAAAGTAGTTCATCATTCCGTGAAATTTCAATATTTGGACATTTGCCTGTGTATTGATCAGGTTGCTTCTTATAATCATAATTATAGCAATCTGGATAAAGATAGTAGCCCCAATATCCATCTGGTCGCATTTCTTCAGCTAGTAAAAGTGTATCTCTCATGAAACTCTTCCCAGCTTTTTCATATTCGTCCTTAGCTAATTTCTTGATTGCAGCTTCGGACAATTGTGGGTGCAACTCTTTAGCAAATTGAATAGATCTGGTTCTGTAAACATTTTTACTACCCCAGTTTCTAACCCACTGGGGTCTCCAGTTTTCCCAGTCAATGACTCCAAGTCCATGAAATGTCTTCAGCGGGATCATACGCTTGATATCCGATCTTGTTTTATTGAGATGTTTGCTGAGGCTTTCATTTTGTGGTATAATTCCATTGAGGAAATGCCCATGGTCATCAATATGGGGATAGACCCCCAACTGGGTAGGATAAAATATTGTCACAGCAGACCCACTTAAAGACTCATTGGCATTTGGTATGACGTGAAAAATCTTCAGGTCTAAATCCACCTCATAGCGCATCTGACATTGGGTAGTAGGTGCATTCCAGAATATAAGGAAAGGCTCATTAGGATACATTGGAGCTTTGGCCTGCATAACATGAACTCCATTAAATCTCTTCAATAATATCCAAGTTGCCAGGCATTTAATCCATAGATGGCACATAATATGCAGTTTTTCTGATACTGTTAGATCCTTGATGGAGGGAAAGAAGAACAGGAAAAGTACAGTGATGATAAGAAAAAAACAGCAATTCATAATTGCAGTAGATATGATGGATAGCTAGATTTTCATACTATTTATTAAAAGGTAACAAAAGTTGAATTAATCAATTATTTATGATCATATTTAAAGGGTGTTCAATGTAATGCTGATCTAATTAGTTAGACAGGTAAAATTAATATATTAATTCAAATAAAATAATTGTAATAGAATTTTCTAAAGGTAAAGGTTCCCCTCGCACATATGTGCTAGTTGCTCTGTGTCCAGAGGATGAAAGTCTGGAGGTTTCATGTCTCTTTTTCAAGAAGCCCATTGGGTCTAACCTATTTCTATTCTAATGCTGCTGGTTTGTAATTAGTTTTGCTACCACCTGTCTTCCATAGGGCACTTCACTTGACTTCTTCCCTGATCTTAGTTCTATGAGAAAAACAGGGCTCCCGTTTAAAAGGGAACACTATTTAATGTGGTCTCATTCTATCTGTAGTAAGGATTTTTATTTAAGGAGACCATATTGAGCATCTGAATGAGGTCGGTTTGAGCCAAGCAGTCAAATTAAGCCATGTGAAGTCAAGAGTTGAAGATTTACAAATGCCCCTGCTCTAAAAATCATGAGACTAGCTGATGAGTAGGGTTGATATGGTGAGAAGGAGAGGTGATATTCAGCAGGTTCTGTGCCAGTTCTGGCGAACCAGTAGCAGAAATTTTGAGTAGTTCGGACAACCGGTAAATATCATATCCAACTGGTCCTGCCCCCATGTATTCTTGGCCTCCTGAGTCCCAGCTGATCTGGAGGAAATTGAGATTTGCAGTAACTTTCCCCTGGAGTGTGGAGGGAATGGAGATTTTACAGTATCCTTTCCCTGCCATGCCCACCAAGCCATGTCACACCCACCAAGCCACACCCACAGAACCATAGTAAAATTTTTGAATCTCACCACTGGTAGGGAGGGTTGCTATATTCTTACTTCTCCTACCAGTTTCTTAGCTGAGTATGCCAATTTATGTATTTTTCAGATTAGAATATTCTGATCATACAAAGTACTTCAGGATACTGTACATTTTAATCCCTAGATGTGTGAATTCTCTTGCTTCCTATAAAATAGATGATAAATGCTAAACATAACAGAACTATAATAAATAAGGTATTAGTTATCAAAACCTTAATAATGGTTTGGTTATGTCAACATTCACATGAAACCTGTAGCTTTTCCCCACCCCATCCAATTTTTGTATGTATTCTATATTTAGTGTATTGAAACTTGGTAGCGTCCGCCGAGTCCCGCCCAGCCGCCCTGTTTAGGATAACCCGCTCCCTCCTAAACAGGAGGGAAACGGGGGACTCCCTACAGGGTAAGGCTGAGGAATATGTCCAGTTCTTGGCGGACAAAGTTGCNATATATATATATATATTTTCGTCCTCCTCCACCACCACCAATATACAGACAAGACAATGACTTTGCCAGCATACATGACAGTAAGTCAGGATGAGATATAAGGACATAGAATCATTCAACATTTCTTTATTTCCACTCTTCCTGCCTAGCACATGTTCAGTCTCTCAAGCCGTCAGGGATAGATGCAACAAAGTATGACATAAGTAATTGCATGTTGTCAAAACAGCATTTGCCACTATGGGAGCAGTCTTCTCCTAACTCCAATTTAAGAAATTTTTTTAAAAAAAAAACAAATAACAGCTGTCTGTTAATTTATTTAAATTTTCTGACACTGCAAGTGGAAAATTATATAACTGTAAAACATCCTAAAAAATAAATCTGTGTCCATTGCTCAGTTACGAGCATGTTAGATTATAACTGCTTATAAATGGAAGAAACTGGGTATTATTAAACTTTTTGAACATTCCAAAATTATCCTATTCCTTGGCATTCTGTTTGTCTTCTTATATTATATATCCATATTCTGAATTTTCTAGCAAAGCAAGCTCTGAAAAAGAACAAGAAGGTAATGGTTTGCTTCTTTCTTTGTTTTAAAAGCCCTCACTTGGAGTAATAAGCACTGTTGGAAAGTTTAACACAAGGTTCTTTAACAAGAAAAGCCAATCTAGACCATCAAATATTGAAGTACTATTTCATTCTTTCAACAAATTAATTAATATATATTTACATATAAATCTAGCAGAAAGAAATAGGACTTAATTCAGACTTCTAAAATATAGACTTTTTTTTAATTGATCACATCTTTATTATAAGAAAGAACCTTTCAGCTGTAAAACTTTGGCTTTTATTCTGATTTATTTATTTAGATCAAAATGTAAACGTTGAAAGGTTCTTCCTGTTTTACCATAAGTACTTATAGTATAAGAATTATATCCTTTGTGAAGTTTGTTCTGCTCTATACAACTCTAGGCCACTCAAGTAAAATTTTAGCAAGGAAATGACATCCCAAATGCCATTCAGTTGTGACATCTTCTTGTTATGAAAAGCATGTTAATTTTAGTATCAAAAACCTTATATTTAAGTGGGGAGACTAAGCATGTTCAAATTTCTGCTCATGATTCCAAGCCAAAAATTGTAAAATAACATTTTATTTTGCATGCTTTGTCAAAAAAAACAAAAAACAACCCATTTGTAACAGCCTTGTTTAGATTTGTTGAGACATTTTTTTTTATTGCTATTTAAGATCAAATCTGGGCTGGTGATAGCTGTGAGCAGCACATAATTGGCCTGGTGCAGTAAGCACTAATTTATAACATGTTTTAAAGTTAGTTTACTTTCCATAATGATTTTTGGTGTGACATTCAGATGAACCTTGTGTGTTCTCAGGTACAAACATGTACAGTAACTAAGGCTGATTATCAGCAGATAGCCAGAACGTGCAAAGATGAATTCAGGAAAGCAAAGGCTCATAATGAACAAAAACTTGAGATAAAAGTCAAAGATAATTTTAAAAAGTTTTTTTCAACATATCAATAACAAGAAAAAAGAATGAAGGAAACAATAGGTCCACTAAAGATAGAAGATGGCAAGGAAGTAACAGGCAGTAGGGAGAAAGCAGAGCTGCTTAACTCATTCTTTGCACAAAAAGAAATTATAGACCAACATACCAAAAAACTTCTGTAAAAGACACGACTAGAAACAAAAGTTCAAATAACTAAAAAAATGGTAAGAGAACTGACCTTCACGAACATAAATTACCGGGACCTGACAGATTACATTCCAGAGTTCTAAAGGACCTGGCAGATGTTATCTCAGAACCATTGCACCAGTGGTGGGATTTACTTACCTTCCTTACCAGTTTGCATATGTGAACATGCGCACATTTTATTAAGTAATATCTGTCCCTTATTTATTTATTAAATTTTCTAGAAAAGGGTTTGAGACTTAAGCTTCAACAGTTTTTGCAGTAATTGGAAGTGTAGACCCTGTTATAGGGAAGGAAGAGAGAAAAGAGGGAGCAGGAGTGGAAAGTGGAGAAGATGCCAGAGAGAAAGAAAAGATGATCTCCCCTTAATGTTCAGTCTGTTCTTGGCCACCATTTCCTTCTGATCCACCTATCAGCCGTATGTGATGCAACTCCCAAAATGAAATTCTGAACATGCAGCCCTTGCTTTATGTTTATATCTTGCATTTATAAGGAGAATGGCATTTTGAATCGAATAAGCGTCTGGATCCAGTTTGTGCTTTGTACTACCTGCTTATTTTTCCCTGAAACTATTGGATGCATCCATCCACTTGAAGTTAAGATATGTTGCCACTGAGATTGTTTTTAATGCTTTCAGTGCTCAGAAGAAATCTGCAAAACAAGGGTATTCGTGATAAGAGAATACCTGGGTAAAAGAAGGTAATGTAAGAATACTTCACAATATCTCATGAGCCATCCTTGACCTGAATGAAGTTACATTTCACAGGATATTAACAGGACAATTGACCAATGGAATAGCTTACCTTCAGAAATCGTGGATGCTCCATCACTGGGGTTTTTTAAGAAGACACCAGACAGCCACTTAACTGAAATAGTGTAGGTTATCCTGCTTGAACAGAGGGTTGGACTAGAAGACCTTCAAAGTCCCTTCTAGCTCTATTCTATTCTATTCTATTCTATTCTAATTTTGATCTGCAGTCAAATTAACCTGAAACCAGCATAAAATGGATATGATGATCCTTCTTCCTGATAATACTATTCTATTGAGATGTAACTGTTTAAATAGCTTTCTCTTTGTATTAGACTGAAGCTATGCTGAATGAAGTTTGCTGTCACCTTTTATATTATTAGGACTCATTTTAAGCCACCATTGTAGGAACAATTACATTTTCCAAAGCAAACAAAAATGTTTTCCTTTCCACAGAGATTGGAATGCTGCTTAGTAAGATTCCTGTTAGAGTCTATTGACTCTTTAATTGTATAAATGTTAAGGTGTCAACAGAATGGTCTGTATTTCTGAGAATCAGAAGACTTGATTGATTGATTGATTGAAGTGAATAAATAAAAATGATTGTCTCAAAGAGGAAACAACATCTATTTCCATCATCCATAATTGCAGTACAGAATGGAAAACCTCCATTGGAATCTCTATCTCTTTTCAATTAGTTTGAAATAATTGAATATAAGTAATTAATGAATGTTACAGGTCCAGTTGGTTATAGTAGTCAAGACACCCATTTAAAAAACTGAGAGACCAGGAGTTCTAGTTTTTCCTTAGGCATGAAATCACCTGAGGGACCTTAGACCAGTCCCCTCTCTGTTAAACCTAGGAAAAAGAAAGCAATGCCAAGCAACTTTTAAAAATTGCAGGGATATATTCAGAAAATTGCAAGGTTAACACTAACTCTAAAGTACTATTTTTTTAAAAAAATCTATTTTACACTCAATACATGTATACAGCTCCCATTGTTCTACCACATAGAAACAAATGTAGTTCCTTTTGGTCAACATCAAGAAATGTTCCCACATTTGAAATAGGTCCCAATAGATTGAACATCAATATAAATAATCAATAAAAATGCAGA